CCCCCCCCCCCAATCCCACTCTCTCCCGCCTAAGCATCTCCGGCTGCTTTAACGTCTTGCTTTTTTGGCCCCATAGCCTCGCAGAGCTGTCCGGGGCTTCGGACAAACGTCCCTTCCCCGAGTTATAAACTCGTCACCGCCTTATCGCCGCTCGCCAGCGTTAAGCCCCAGTTAAAAGCAGAGCCGGGCTTCCCCACTCCCGGGACTCTCCAAGCAGGGAGAAAGCGGCGCGTTGAAGATGCCAATCCCGGCCTTGTCTCGCCTCGCCTCCTCTCTTTCTCTCCACCCGCTACCCCGCGCACCTCAAAGCACGGCAGCAGCCCCTCACCTCCTCCGGGATGGCAGAGTCGCCTCCGGCGCTGCCGCTACCCGCGGCGTAGGAGGGCCCGGGCGGAGGCGGCTCGGGTTCCATGTCCCCGTTGAAAAGCGATGCCCCCTCAGCGCTGCCGCTGCTGCTCAGCGCCGCCATCTTGGATCGAAGCGCTGAGGGAGAGGAGGAGGGGGAGGAGGGGGCCAAGAGGGGGGACGGGGAGGAGGAGGAGGAGGGGGAGGAGGAGGGAGAAGGGGAGGCCCGGCCGTGTCGCTCCTCTCGACCCGGCCGCCCCCAGATGCGACCCGTAGCGGAAGGAAAGTGTCGGGGTGAGGGAGGGGGGAACGAAGGGGGGGGCAGAAGGACGGGGCAGAAGAAGCTCAACCAAGAAGACACCCAAGGCTCCAGACAGGGAGGCGGCGGCAGCGGCAGCGGCTGACGTCACGAGCGTGACGTCACCCAGAATCGCCCCGCGCGCGCGGGTGCGCATGCCCAGCCGGACGTCACCGGGAAACACCCTGACATCACGACGCGGCCCCTCTTCTCTACGTCATCAAGGGAAACCTTTAGATCAGGGGTCTCCAATGGCTGAGGAATTCTGGGAGTTGAAGTCCACAAGACTTAAAAGTTGCCAAGATTGGAGACCCGCTTTAGATGCAAGGAATGGCTTCGCCACGCCCCCCGCCCCCCTTCTATCAGGGCACGTTTATTGGGGCAGGTGCCTTTTTGTCCCCTCCCTTGAACTCCGGTCGGCTGAATGACACCGTTTAAAAGCAAGCTGTGGTAGAACTGCCTACCAGATCTAGATGGTAGATTGTAGAATCTGGGCGACCCCCCACCCCACCCCCAATGGCAGCAAAAGAGTTTTGAGTATCTCTTTGCTGCCATCTAGAGATCGTCCGAATCTTTGCAGCCCCGATCTAATCCTCACCAGATACTACTTAGTGAGGAAGCGTTGCTTTTAACTAATGTTTAAACAAGTTAAAGCGAAGAAAACGAACATTCTCCCAAACGTAAAATTGAAAAAAGGGTTGTTCTGAAACATGGCAATCAAATCTCCCACGCTCTGAAATGAGAATAATATTAGAGAAAAAAAATCTGAGTTTTCTTATATATTGCCTCAACAACAGCTTCCTAGCTAGTCTCCATGATTTGAAGAACTGATTCTCAGCTAAGTGGAAATAAAACATTTTAGATTGACTTCTGACATTTTGGGTCCTATTCTTATGAAGACTACAGTAAAAATTTATGTTTAAAACAACACCAGTAAAATGTGAGAAAATAATTTAGTCACCTGGTTCACAATTGTCTTATTTCTGTACTCAATTACTCTAGACATCACTATAAACTATTCCCTAGATCAGGGGTGTCAAACTCACATGTCATGTCGGTGTCACGTGACGTACTGGGACTCCCTCCACTTTGCTAAACCGGGCATTAGTGTGGCCAGCGTGTGACACATCCAGCCCATGGGCCAGGAGTTTGACAGCCCTGCTCTAGATGAATTATTTATTTGAAAAAAATACTATGTTTGAGGTGATATTTTACATTGCTAAGAAAGTATGGTATGCATGCATGCATGTACTGTATGTATTATTAGCACTTTGCAGCCTACAGGTTACTCAAGATGCAAATGTCCCCAAATGGCATACATTCCAAGGGCCATATATTAAGTGAAACAATATAATAAAAATTATGCATAAGAATACCCAAATATTATTTGGAGGTTATACAGAACCTGGATAATCAAATTAATGAATTATGTTAAGTAAAAATCAAACAAACACCCAACCCCTTCCTCAGAAACAAACTCAACAGTATTTCCCAAAGACCTGGTGGAATAACCATTGAGAGCACTTGGCCCTGTGTGGTACTCTACAATAGTTGCCTAAGGTTCAATCTCTTCATCATCACAGCCACTGCCTTGATCAGCAACCCCCCCCCCGACCCCATCCCCATTCCCCCCCCCCTTTTGTCTTCTCCCTTGCTCTGGCATTTCCTTCTGTTCTTGCTTAGCAGAGATATCTTGATTGCTTTGCTACTTTTTCATTCCTTGTCTG